GCCCCGAGGCCGACGTCCAGGCATTAGAGAGCAGCCTGGCCCAGCTCCGGCGAGCCTGGGAGAGCCACCACATCCAGTTCGAGGAGTCAGGTGAGCCTGGGGAGACCGCACCAAGCATCTCCTTCATTGCAGCCCTCTTTTCTGGGAGCCACCCAGGCTGGGCGGTAGAGCTCCAGGGCAGGGTCCAGGGTAGTCATCTCCCTGTGAAGACCTGAGAGCCCAGGGAGCAGGAGGTTGCCTCCAGCCTTACATTCACCACTTGCTCTTCTGGGTCCGCTGATACCACCTCTCTCCCCACACAGAGGAGTTTCAGGCCCTGGTGAAGAGGCTCCCCGGGGACCGTTTCCTGAACAGGACGGCCATCTCCCACTTCTGGGCCATGGACCTGGATGTCCAGCATCGCTATCAGCAGCTGGGCACCAGCCTGAAGCTGCTCTCCAGGAAAACCCACCGACTCATACGGCGGCTCTTCAACCTCAGCAAACACTGCCCCTGGCAACCTCGCTTCAAACTGCCAAAGGAGAGGTAGGGTGCCACAGCATCCCCATCCTACGCTGGAGACACTGTTCAAAGCCCCAAGGGGGGCTCAGACTCATGGCCACCTCCCTGTAGCTGGCACTTAAGGAGTGCCCGCCTTGCTGGAGGGATACCTGGGGGTGAACAGGCAGCAGAGGCAGCCGTGCCACCCTGGGATATGGCCCTGAGACATTGGGTCCTAACCTGGAGGTGGAAAATGGGGCTCAGTTCATGGGAGGGCCACCAGTGGTGCAGAAAAAATGAACACAAGGTGGGCACCCCTTCCATCCCTAGGGGAAGTCGGTCACGCCCAAAAAAAGCCCACGTTAGCATCTCTCCTCCCATGTCTTTTCTCTACCAGGTCCCTCTCTTACTGGTGGAGCCGTGCACAGTCGCTCCTGTACTGCAGCGAGACAGCTGTGCCTGGGACCTTTCTGGAAGAAAGCCACAGCTGCACGTGTCCCTCTGACCAGCCCTCCTGCCAGGGGTCCATACCGTGTGCCTTGGGCGAGGGGCCAGCCTGCACCAGCTGTGCTGAGGACAACAGCACCCGCTGTGGGACCTGCAACCACGGCTACGTGCTCACCCAGGGCTTCTGCCGCCCTGAGGTGGCCGACTCGCTGGAGCACTACCTGGGGCTGGAGACGGACCTGCAGGACTTGGAGCTCAAGTACCTCCTGCAAAAACGGGACAACCGCATCGAGGTGCACTCCATCTTCATCAGCAATGACATGCGCCTGGGGAGCTGGTTCGACCCTTCCTGGAGGAAACGCATGCTCTTGACTCTGAAGAGCAACAAGTACAAGCCTGGGCTGGTTCACATGATGTTGGCACTCTCCCTGCAGATCTGCCTCACCAAGAACAGCACACTGGAGCCTGTCATGGCCATCTATGTCAACCCCTTTGGGGGAAGCCACTCGGAGAGCTGGTTCATGCCTGTCAATGAGGGCAGTTTCCCAGACTGGGAAAGGACTAACGTAGATGCCTCTGCCCAGTGCCAAAACTGGACACTCACCTTGGGCAACAAGTGGAAGACCTTCTTTGAAACGGTCCACGTCTACTTGCGGAGCCGCATCAAGTCTCTGGATGACAACTCCAATGAGACAATCTACTACGAACCCTTGGAGATGGCAGATCCCTCCAAGAACCTGGGGTACATGAAAATCAACAGCTTGCAAGTCTTCGGCTACAGCCTGCCCTTTGAACCAGATGCTATTCGTGACCTGATCCTTCAGCTGGACTATCCCTACACCCAGGGCTCCCAGGACTCAGCCATGCTCCAGTTGTTGGAGATCAGGGACCGGGTCAACAGGTTGTCACCCCCTGGCAAAACCCATCTTGACCTCTTCACTTGCTTGCTCCGCCACAGGCTCAAGTTGGCCAACAACGAGGTGGCGAGGATCCAGTCCTCCCTGAGGGCCTTCAACGCCAAGCTACCCAATGCAGTAGAGCAGGAGACAGGCAAGCTGTGCAGCTAACAGCTGGGTCTGCTCAGATCTTGGAGTGAGTGGGCCAGTAAAAAGAACTCCTGGGGGGAAAGGGGGCAGAATATAACCACCCTAAAAAAAAATTAAATTATGGCCTTACCTTAGTGCCAACTATGTGCTTCCATGGTACACCCAGCGACTGGCTAAAGAGACGCAGGGCTTGAGCAGATGGAGAACGCCAGCAGGACTACGGAGGAGGAATGGCTCACACAGTGCAGACTGTCTCCATGCATGGGGACGATGCCAGCACGACCACCCTGTGGCATCATGGCTTCTGCTCAAGCACCAGTGGCTGATGGCCGAGAAGGGATGTGGCTCGGCCAGAGGCAGCTTCTGGCCCCGCTGGAACAGGTGCTTAACCCACCAAGAGGTTCCTCCAGCATCAGTCTGCTTGGCTCCCCAACTTTTGTAATCTTTTTAAGAGAGGTTTCTACTGGGGCTTTCACATCTGCTGCGATCATTCCTGTGGCCATGCCCTCACAAGCAGCATGGGGAGGGACCACGCCATAGGCCTCTGAGATGCAGCAGATTTCCCCTGGAGCGTCTCCATGAGCATTTCATGTCCGCTGTGGTACCAAGGCTTCGTCACCCCTCGCGTGGACAAGGACCTGGCACCTGCCCCGTGGATGCTGCCATCACGGACACCGGCGGAGATGTCTGGGCCGCAATTCCTTAAAGAAAACAAAAAGCAAAACAAAAACTAAAAAAAAAAAAAGTTTTATTAATGTATTTATTTATTTGTTTTGTTTGGGAGGGGTTTTTTAAGCCTATTTATTTGGGGAGGGTCATGTCTTGTCAGTGGCTCCAGCCAAGAGACATCTGAGTAAAATGTATCTGTTGAATATATTTTTTTAAAAAATGCCTTTTTTGAGCAAAAGAGCAACCAAAAACAAATGAGGAAAAAAAAAAGAGAAACCAAAAAAAACCCAGTTACTGTCATTTCTGGCCCTGGATTTTCCCTTGCTGTATGGCCGGAGGAGGATGGCAAGGAGGCTGCTGTGCATGCCTGACCACTGTGTCTTTCCCAGTTTCTCTGCGCCGTCCTGGTCTCTGGATTTTAGCTGAGCCTCCCAAGGAGGAGATGCCACCACTTGGGCTGGCCATCTCTCTCCTGTCCACATCTTCATTAACTCAGAGGTATGGCCCATTAAGACAATCAGATGTACCTGGAGGCAGGAGGGATCCTGCCCACCTCTGGAGCAGGCAGCTCCTGCCTGCTCTCCCTAGCTCTGGCCTGGAGTAGATGCTTCTCAAGCTGGGGGGAAGGACCCACGTGGCACCAGCCACATCCCATATCCAGCTTCCTCCTGGTCCCATGTCCATCCATCATGCCCCAGGGTGAGCAGTGCTGTGGCACGTACCATGTCTCTGGGCATGTCAAGTGTGACCCTTGGGAACTTCCCTTGATGACCCTTATCTCTGGTACAGGAAGAGATGGGGGACACCTGACCCCCAGCCACTCTTTCTGGCCAGTTACAATTGTACAGGCAGGTATGACACTCGTCTCTGTCCTAGCTCCATTGCGCAGTCCACATATGTAGGTTGCTCCACACTTCTGGTATCATCACTGACCTCTTCATTCATCACCCACTTAGATATGTCCCCCAGATCAGGTGCAACCCACCCTGGACATCTCCCTCTGCTACATCCAGTGCAGGTATCAGGGGTCAGTGGGTTTCCCTGGAGCCAGCATCTCCAGCAGCTCCACTGCCTGCACTTCTCTGGTACCCGCTCAGCCCAGCGAGCTGGGGCGAAGAGCCAGGCAGCAGGGACAAGCGAGCTGGCAGCTGACGGCTCAGCAGAGCTGGGCTCCCCTCCCTCCCTCCCTCCCCAGCGCTGCTGCCGTGCTCGGCACCTGACCAGAATATCAAGCAGCCGCGCTGCCCAGCTGTCGGATGGAAACACTGGATATCCAGACAAGCAGAGCTCACCGCCTCAGCAGCTGCCCAAATTTCTTGGCTGAGGACAGGCTAGAGAAAGGAAGGAGCCAACCCTCCAACCCACAGCATCCCTAAAGCAGGGAGTGTGGGCAGAGGGGATGGGCAGGGTGCAGGGAAAAGGAGACAGGGGAAAGAAAATTTTAAAAAGCATATCGGTGTGCAGATCTGATCTGGTTCCTAATCCTCCCTGGCTGGCAAAACTTACCTGCTTGGGTGCTGCAAAAGCAGTGGTGAACCAAACTCATCCATCCTGCTTCTGTCAGCCACGTGTTCCTCCCTCGTCCATCCTTGGGTTGGACAGATAAAGAGATAAGCATGAGGAAAATAACACCAGAAGAGATAAAGAGATAAGTGAGAGGAAAATAAAACAGGGGTAGATAAACCATGCTTGCTATTTATATTCCCTGTCTAATCTATCAATCCATCAGGCCAGCTACTGTGGTTATAGCATCCCTCAATCTGTCACCTGGACTTCTCCATACATCTGTCTTCCTTTGCCCACGTTTCCTCCCTTGCCTCCCAGTGCTAAAGGGAAAAGAAATCAGGCAATTAAACATGCCAGGAGGAAATGAGAAGTCAAACCCATCATCTCGGCTCCCAGGGGGCAGCCATCAGACATCTGCCTGGGGTTGAGGAGGGTACAGGCAGGAGGGCCAGCAGCGCTGCCTGCTCCTGAGCAGGCAGAGCTGCTGGGAGGCTTCCCAGCTAGAAAGCCCATTTTGGCTCCTGCTATGCATCTTTCTGGGCTGACACATCACTTCTTCTCGCAGTCATCATGTGGGCCATGCCATTGTGCTAATGTCCCTCAGCTCTGTCCTCTGTCTCCCCCAGACAGAGCATTTCTGACCATACTTTTGAGTACCCTGAACCAGTCAGGACCTCCTAAAACCACCTGAACATGAATGCAAGAGCCATCGGGAAGTCTGGCAGCATCTTGAGGAGTCACTGGCCAAGACATGGTGGAGCACCTTCCACCTGGCAGTGGACTGACCCTGGGCTTCTCCACCTCGATGCTGGCTTCAGAGGCAGGCAAGTGATGCCCTGAGAGTAATGGTCCTGTGTGCAGGGATGGAGGCAGTTTACTTTCAATTTAATGCCAAAAAAGGTAGCTGAAGGGATGCCATGCACCATAAACTCTTTGCATCCCTGATGGTTGCTCTCCCCCAGGCTGGCAGGCAGAGTAGCACTGGAGACTCACCTCCCTCCAGCAAGATTTTATCATGTATCTGCCCAAAAGCACCGTGTTTGGCCCAAATTGCTGATTCCCATCAGGAACGAGGCCTTGTGTGGTATTCCCAGCCCAGCAGCCAGCACAGCACCTACTCAGCAAAGCACCCCACCGGGCAACACAGACGAGGAGTGACAGCAGTGTTAAGCACATCCCTGGCCACCAGCTCCCCACAGCATGGGACTGCCCTACCTCTTTGACTGCGTGGAGGAAAAGAAAGGGGTGGTTCTTGGAATTTCGCTGATAAATTGCTGTATTTTGGAAGAGAACCACTTCCACATGCCCCCTCACCGGGACAGACAGGAGGGGACTGCCAGACTGCATGTTAATCTCAGGTGGAAGCAGCCAGGTGCTCCCATCCCTGTTCAGCAATTAAGGCACTCAGTGGAGATGATTAAGAAGGCAAGGTTAATAACTGGGGGTCAGCGCTTGATTACCTTGTGGCACTTTCCCTGCAGAGAACAACACTGACTCCAGCGGCACCGGCTGGAGAGCTGCTGCTGTGCACGGACCTCACAGGATCTGGCCCTGGACACAAAAACCCAGGGTGCCGCCCTGCCAGGCCTCCCCAAATCAGGAATTCAGTGTCAAACCTAATAGATTTTAAAAAATGGGTATGTTTGGGTTTGTAAAACTGGTTTGCAAGCCCCTGCATTTATATGCTTTACACAGCTCCCCTCTGCAACCAGAAAGCTGCTTCTTAAATAAGGAGCTGAGCTCCTCACTTGCTTGATTGCAGCCACTCTGGTTCCCTCTGGACACATCTATTTAGCAGCTCTGCCAGGGAAAAGGAGGCCCGGGAAAGACTGGGCCATTTCACCCCCAGCTCCAGCAGCAAGATGGGATCCTCTCTCCCCCAGCATCCTTGCTCACAGCTCCCAGGTGCAGGTTAGTCCCACCTCCATCTCCCATCACAGATAGTGATGAGCTGTGATCGGCTACACCTGAACCAAACAGCTCACAATCTTCCCCCTCCTGTGTTTTCACCCCTTTTCTGCAGCATCGTCTGAGCCTCCAGCCCTGCATGCCGTGAGGTGGTGCCTTTGACCTCATGGCCAAGAGCATCTCCGCATCATGGTGTGCCCAAGTAGCAAGGTCAGCTTTGCTGTGAAGAGCCAGGATGGAGAGAGGTGGCAGGGCTAAATGTGCATCCCTGCTCCAGCCTGCCTCAGTTTCCCCCCAGTTCCTAGCTGATGCAGTTTCAGCCTGGGAGCCAAGCACAGGAGGTAAAACATCCCCAGGGGAGGGTGGAGGGCTGGGGGAGGCTCAAAAAAACCACTGCTTTGCTGGCTGATACCCTTTTTCTTTGCATGCAAACAGCATCCTGGTGCATATTTCACTTGAAATTCACCCCGTGGTCTCTGCCCTCTCGGTTCAGGACACAGGATGGGCAAGAAGTGGAAATCAGATGTTCTGCTTAGCAGGAGGCTTCACGCCAAGCATTTTGCTCAGGGCTCATCCAGCTTCCTTAGCTGCACATAACCACCAGCAGCTGCCCAGCAGAGCCGTCTTGCTGTCTGACAGCATTTCTGGAGTCTGGCAAGCTGCCTGCCGACCTCTCTGCCCTGCCATGGGGCTGCTCCGTCTCCTATAACACCGTTTCACTGCAGGTACCAGAGATATTCCTAGGCACGCATAGGATCACCATCTACTCTCCCAACTAACCAAACAGACTATGGGATGCGATCCCTGGGCAAACCAGGGTCCCCAGCTCACGTAGCACCATGGCCTGGAGCTGCTCTGCCCCCACAAGCCCATAGAGACTTACCACCCTCTTCTCACTCTAGGCTCGGAGAGTGGGGGTGTCGCTATGCACTGCCCTTGCTTCCCCCTGCCTCTCCCCTCCCCAGTGACATCTGAGTGGCCAA